TAAGACATGACAAATCTATGAAGAGGAGGAAATTGTGACCTATGAATACATATACTTGCATTAATTGCATGTCTGACTAAAGCGCTTTTTTTTGCTTGTATTATTCAAAAAACATCCAGCCAACTGACCAAAAAAAACTCCAACAAATAAATTGTTCAGAATGAGAAGCACTCAGACCCACAAAGCAGTAATACATGAAGTAGATAAAGCAGATCAGTAGAATTTTCTTTTAATCATAACTAGAGTGGATCTTGGAAGAAATCTCTGTATTTTGAAGATTAGTAAGTAATTTTGATTGCTGTAAGTAAAAAAAAATATTTTGCGCTCTTCGACCAAACAGCAGATGTAATCTTTCATGGAAGCTATCTTTACCCATCCAGAAGAACACCATGTACTAAGAACCCAGTTAGCTGTGCATGATGTCATGGATTCAGTATTGAGTATGCAAAAATCTTAGTATATGAATGTAGGAATTGTGAAATTATCTTCTAGACTAAAGAGGAAGGAAAAAAAAAAGCCAAAGGTATAGCTGAACCTTGAGGTTAAGACTTACAGAGAGGCATTAAATAGCTGTACTGTTCTTTCCTCAAAAGGAAGGACCACTAGCTTAATGCTAAAAGAACTATGCCGAGATGTATATGATTCTGGCTATAAAGAAAATTCTTAGTTTTAAATTTTCTAAATGCTCCTAAAAACATTAAAGAAAAAAATTAAATGTGTTAATATAAACTTATGCATTCTAGCTATTATCTTCTTTAATCCTTAGAGAGTTCTTTATGCTTCATGACTCTGGAAAGAATTAAGAAGCAGCTCATATTAGAGGCCATTGTTACGTTCCCTTCAGCACCATTTTCTTCTTTTCCTACAATTACTGAGATTTATTTTCTTTGCTTGAAATAGGATTTTTGTCTCATTTGGGTCCCTGCTATTTAATTCCTACTTGAAGTCATAATCCTCCCTGCCACACCACACCAATCTCCTTGAAGCTAATTTTGATGTCACAGGAAGGATTTTTACTTCAGAAGAACTGATTATTTAGGTACGCTTCATGTACCAGAAATTGTCCTTCTCTAGTACACAAAAATAGGAATACTGCAGCCAAACAGATTCAAAGCACAAAACTCAACAAAAGTTTGAGCTTCCTGGTTAGTACTTCTCAGCAGGAATTTAAGGGGCTTTTTGTTAGAATAAGGAGGCAATAGAGTATGCTTAGCTACACAGTCTTTGGCTTTTCTTTTCACGATTCTGTTTCTGTGAGAGGCTTCTCTGACACACACACACTGTATACAAAAATTTGAGGTGAGGTAATCACATTCCAAATAGTCAGTGATGTCGGAAAATACTTTCAACTTGGACTGGTTTCAAAGCTCTGGCTTAAAACCAGCACAGTGTTAGAACACCACTTGATACTCGTTTGTCCAAGTGATTTTTATTTTTTTGTTATTGTTCGTATTTTTTCATTTTTCCTGATAACATGTGTTAAGTATTTGAAGCATCATTAAGATTAAAATAATCAAAGTGATTCTTTAACAAAATCCATTCTCATCTCTGCAGGGGTGAAAACACTTCTGTTGCAAGTGAAAAGTCATATTCTGTAAAAAACACATAGAAAGAGCAGCTGAAAGGAGTAACTGTTTCTTGCAAAGCTGGAAAGGTTAAAAATAAGAGCAACCATTGACTACAAATGAATCTACAGCTGATCAAAACCCTCTTTTGATTATTTGCAGAAAAGAAAGTCTCAGTGCTGAGCTGACAAGATTGTAACTTGTACTTTATTAATTACCATTTTCTTTTTGCATCAACAAATCAACACACTGGAACAGGTTGCCCAAGGAGGTTGTGGATGCCCCACCCCTGGAGGCATTCAAGGCCAAGCTGGAGGTGGCTCTGGGCAGCCTGGTCTGGTGGTTGGTGATCCTGCACGCAGCAGGGGGGTTGAAACTGGATGATCATTGTGGTCCTTCTCAACCAAGGCCATTCTATGATTCTATGATTCAAAAGCACTGATCGTACATCTGGAATAAGAATATTCACATCAGTGAAAGCTCCATACCAACATGTTGATTGACTAATTTCAAATTAATAGATTAGCTTCTAGGATACAATGTACTAAACATTTGACTTAGGAAGAAAATAATCAGTAAAAATGCAGAAAGTATCCTTTATGTGTCATTCCATATCATGTGATTTGATAAATGTGATTGATCATTACAAGCTTTCCTATATTAGGAATCACACCCAATACTTTGAAACCCTTTATCCCCATATCTTCGAGGATTTCTGAAGGGGAACAGCTTACTGTTACAGATTACCATCAGATTTGGCAGTGACTGTGTTCACCTTTGTCACAGGAACTTACAGAGAAGCTAACATGTATCGGTGTTAAGCATATTTTATTAAAACATTGAAAAGAGATAACAGCTTTCAGTTTATCTATCTTTGTCATTTGTTTGTTGTGTTTTTTTGTTTTTTGTTTTTTTTCTCAAGATTTTTTTTTTCTCTCCTGTTTATGTGTCTTGTTTCAAATTTCTTTCACATATGACTAAGCTGGGTTATCTGAGTGGGAAGGATGAGCAGAAGAGCTTCAAGCTTAAAGACACCCGTTTACTCCATGCTTCCTTTGCATGCCCTATTACTTCTACGCTATTAAACCAGCGCAAGGAGGAATGCTAGGAATGCTATCTTGATTCGAGCTCAATAAAGACGACACTGTTTTCAGGATTTTATGAAAGACATCACGAGAGTTCCTTTTATTCTCCGTGGCCGTCAGAGCGGCACGCACAGCCCGTTCTACCCGCAGACGTGACGCTGCCGGCGGCTGCTGCCATCCCGGCCCCGCAGCGCGGCCCCGACGGAGCGCTCACTTCCCGTCATCCACACGCCATCTAGCGACGGGAAAAAGGGGGCGGCTTTGCACGGGAGTGGAAAGGAGAGGAGGAGGAAAGGGCTCCCATCCCCGTCCCAGCTCTCGCCTTTCCCAAAGCGGGTAAGAGCTATTTGGATATTGCGGCCAGAACTCCAGAGCGGCTCGGGGCGGCTCGTGAGGAACACCGCCGCACTCCGCTCCCTGGCATTTCACCCCCCCTTTCTCTCTACTTTTCAGTGAATCGTTCCCCTCCCCTTGAAAGGAGCTAGCGCTGCCCAGGAATCCCCCGGATACCTCACCTAAGCTATCTCTTAAGCCGCCCTCCTCGAAGCACCGATCCCTGCCTGAAGCACCGCCAACTCTGGCGGCTCTGCGCGGCACTGCCGGCGGAGGGCTCGGACCGCGCGATCGCGGCCCCCGCAGAGACACGCGCGCACACACGCGAACGCACACACACACACACACACACACACACATAGAGCACACGGGCGCTCCTCGCCGCCGGCGCAGCGGCCCCGGCCCCTTTGTTCCGCCCGCGGAGGGATGCCCGCGCCGCGCCCCCCGCGCCCCGCTCCGACACCGCCCGTCCCCGCGCCCCTCGCCCGCGGGCGGCGGCAACGCGGCGTGGCTGCGGGAACCCCTCCGCCCCGGCCGCGCCAGGGCCTCTCCGCCACCACCCGCAGCCCCGCGGTAGGGGCAGGGGCAGCGGCCGCGCCTCTCGGCAGCCCCGCGCCGCAGGATCCGCGCCCCGGGAACGACGTGCTCCTCCGAGCTGCCAGGCGCGATTACGTTGGTTTTCCCCCCACCCACCCCTTGAACTTGTTGCTTGGCGCTCGGCGGCGGTGGCGGAGGGGGGTGGGGGTGGGGGAAAGGGAAAGCCTTATTATCGATGTCCCTTTGGATGCGATCAAGCTTTCTTAGGAGCAACTACTTCCCCGCCGTTCCCGGCGGGGCGCGGAGATCTAGCGGCAGAGCCCGCATTTCCAAAAGTCTCTATGCAACTGAGCGCTCTCGTCAGACTTTCCCAGGTAGGTGCCGCAGACTGAGCACGGCAAGAGGGATGCGAGAGCAGAACCGAGGGGAAGGGGCGAGAAGCAGGAGGGGGGGGCGCGGGGGGTACGATCCGGCCGCCGAGCCGCGACCTGCCGCACCGGGGCCCCACGCCGCCGCTCTCCTGCCCCGCTCCCGCCCCGGTTTCGCCCTCCGCCGCCCTTTTGGCCGCTGCCGAGGTGCCCCTCGCACCCCGCCCTTTCCTCGCCATCGCCACCGCCGCCCCGCTTCGCATCAGCACCTTCCCTGCCCCTCGCCCCACTACATGCGGAATCCCCAGACCGCTCCCTGCCCTGGGGCGCGCTACCTCGCCCCTTCTGGCGCCCCTCTGTCCTTTGATGCATTTCCTATAGAAAAAAAACTTGCCTTAAAGTTTAATGTTGCCGCCTGGAGCTCCTCCCTCTGCCCCGCCGGCTGCCCCGGCCCCGAGCCCGGGTGAAGAGGAGTCCCCGGGGCGGCGATCAAGGACAGCGAGAGGATTCGTCCCCTGCTGCTCCGCAGCGGCCCGCCCGGCCCAACCCCTCCGCCCCGGCACGGCGAGCGGACCCGCCGCAGCTCTCCCGGCGACGGCTCCGCTGGTGGCCGCGGCCCCGCGCCGACAGCGGGCGGGGAGCGGCGCGGAGAAGGGGCGGGGGGACAGGCTGCATCGCGCGTGGAGAACATCTACTTCCAGGTGGCTGCACCGCTGCACCAGGGCTGCCAACCGGCTCCCGTGGGTAGCGCTTTGTGGATCACAGCTTCCATCTAGGAGCATCGCGAGGACCTTGTATCCAAACGACTTGGCTGCTAGGCAGTTGTAGAAGCCATGAAAACGTTGATCTTCCAAGTGCCCCGATTTATTGTCCTAACTGTTTAACCAGCTCCTGGAAAGGATATTGTGGGGCCAAAAAAAAAAAAAAAAAAAAAAAAGAGGAAGAGGGAGGAATTAAACAGCCTGGTTAATTATTCTGAAAATCACAGCAATGTTTGAAAATTTGGGAGCCTTGAAAATGTGTGAACTTTTGTATTTTTCTTTTCCTTTTTAGTGGCTTGTCAAGAACTGTCTGTAGATTCACTCTCTCAGCTGTAGTCACTGTTTGGGATCATGGCAGCGGGCGTAGCAGCTTGGTTACCCTTTGCCAGGGCAGCAGCCATAGGATGGATGCCAGTGGCCACAGGTCCCATGCCAGCTGCTCCACGGCAGGAGAGGAAGCGAAGCCAAGACTCTCTGATTGTGCTGAATGTGAGTGGCATCCAGTTCCAGACATGGCTGGACACTTTGGAGCGCTACCCTGACACCCTGCTCGGCAGTTCGGAGCGGGACTTCTTTTACCACCCTGAGACACAGCAGTACTTTTTCGATCGGGACCCTGACATTTTCCGCCACATTCTCAACTTCTACCGTACTGGGAAGCTCCATTACCCTCGCCAGGAGTGCATCTCTGCTTACGATGAGGAGCTGGCCTTTTTTGGCATCATCCCGGAGATCATTGGTGACTGCTGTTATGAGGAGTACAAGGATCGCCGTCGTGAGAATGCTGAGCGCCTGCAGGATGATGCTGACCAGGATCACGCAGCTGAGAGCTCCCTGCCCTCGATGACAGCTAGGCAGAGGATGTGGCGGGCCTTTGAAAACCCACACACCAGTACACTGGCTCTAGTCTTCTACTATGTCACTGGTTTCTTTATTGCTGTCTCTGTTATTGCCAATGTGGTGGAGACAGTGCCCTGTGGGGTGAGCCCGGGTCGCATCAAGGAGCTGCCCTGTGGAGAGCGCTATGCTGTGGCTTTCTTCTGTCTGGATACTGCTTGTGTCATGATCTTCACAGTTGAATATCTCCTACGCCTGCTGGCAGCTCCAAGTCGCTACAAATTTGTGCGCAGTGTCATGAGTATCATTGATGTGGTAGCCATCATGCCATATTACATTGGCCTGGTGATGACAGATAATGAGGATGTCAGTGGGGCTTTTGTGACACTAAGAGTCTTTCGTGTCTTCAGGATCTTTAAGTTCTCCCGCCACTCGCAGGGGCTGCGCATCCTGGGCTACACCCTCAAAAGCTGCGCCTCGGAATTAGGCTTCCTTCTCTTCTCACTTACCATGGCCATCATCATCTTTGCCACAGTCATGTACTATGCAGAGAAAGGTTCATCAGCCAGCAAGTTCACCAGCATCCCCGCAGCCTTCTGGTACACCATTGTCACCATGACAACACTGGGGTAAGTGCAGCTGGCGTTTGGTTACAGCCAACATTCCAACAAGTGGGTTGGCAAGAAGGAAAAATGCAAGATTTTTTTTTTTTTTTTTATTTATATATATATATATATATATATATATATATATATATATATATATATATATACTATACATATAGTAAAAATGAGAGGGTAGTTTTTTTGCTACACAACTCCATGAATACAGTTCAGCACTGCTTTCTAAGAGTTTCACATATGGAGTTGAGTTAAAAACGTTGCTGAACGTTAAAGTAACCCAAACCCCAAAGCTATAGATAAATTAAGAAAACTGATTGGTGTCTTTGCCATTTGCTCTAACATTTTATTTCGGTTTGGCTTTTGAAATGTGAATATTTTATGAAGATCTGTGAGTTATCAGTGGCTTTTTAATAGTGCAATATGTTTGTTGGCAGTACTTGTTACAGTGTTGCCAAAGTATCGATAAGGACAACCCAGGTGCAATATTTTAAGGAGATCATGCATAAAAGGAGGTCTGCCATTTTGTTTGAAGTGATGTGTTGATGTAGACTGGGTATGAAGTTGGATTTTACAAAGTCATTCACTTTTATGAAAATAAAGCAAGTATAGATAGCTTGGTTTTCACAAATATGGTTCTTGTGTTACTTGAGAGTCTGGATAGATTTCCTTTGATTTCTGTGTAACTATAACTTGGACTCAAGTAAATGGTGCATCTTGCTACACTGACCTGTGACAGATTCTGGAAAGTGATCTGAGGAAATGTGAGACATCTATTCGACAGACCAACCTCATGTCTTGAAACATAATTCTAATGACAGTTTGCATTCTTGAAGAACATTAGGAATGTAAAGGTGCTGCTGTTGGAATTAGACAGACCCCAACTGAGATTACTGAAACGATGTGTTGCAGTATTATTTTTTAAACTTTCTTTCTGATACCAGGTCATGTTGTAGCAGCTAATTCGGTGTACCAGGTTGTAAAATGTGTTTGTCTGTATTTCTAACAGGGATTTAGAAGGCTGACTAATTTAAGAAGCTTATTTTGAGATGTAAAATATGAACTATGAAACTGAAAATTGTTGATTCTGTATAATTTTTTTTAGTTATTTAATAACTACAGTTGTTAAAAGTCAAACTTTTTACTCTCATATAGGGAAAGCCCTTCATTTTATTAATCAAACACTTCACCATATCTTTTGGGACTGTTGAGATTTATGAAATATGTATAATTTTTTAATTTAACAAAATGAAAGTACACTCAAACTATTATGAAAAAGTTGATTTATTATGTGCAATTTAATTTACTTGGGAAATGGACATATAAAATATTGGAAAAGATAAAGGGACTGTGTAATGCCACCACTTTTTACACTGGGCTTTTATCTTCAGCATGATATAACAAATGAAGATAAATATAGTGCATTGTAAATATTTCATACCACTTGTAAGTGCAAGTTATGCTAAAAAGGAATGACAAGAGCTTTGGGGATTTTAGTCTGCTTTTTAGGTTGCTGGATTTTTTTGGTTTTTGCTTTCTTCTGTTAGTGACAAACTGACAGGACAAGCTAACACAAGGAACCAGTTCCAAAGTCCTGTGCTTTCTGATGCTCATTCTTTTTGCCACATCATTTTAACATTTGATGATTTTAACAAGTTAGGTTGTGAGAATTTAGCAATATTCAGGACATAGAATTCTATTATAGAAGAGCAAAAGCTTATCAGTACATACATACATTTTAATGAAGCATGTTTTTTAAGTAAGTTGTACTCACTATTTTGGACACTGTTTTGACTGTACTTGTCCGTGGTACTGAACAGAATTTTGTCCTAAATAATGTGACCAGTTCATAACTGATTATTACATGTGTATGATATTTATTAGGTTTTGATACGATTTCTGCATTTCTTTCATGAAATAATGGAAAACTCCAGGTTTTGAGATGTTATACTGGCTACTGATGAGATCTGTTTGCCAAAACTCTGAATAATACCTAAGAAGCTGTTTTCAAGTATGCAGCCACGCAATATTTGCATCCTAATGGGAATTAAAAGGGTTAAAAAGAGTACAGACATGCTTGACTCACTTTTGGAGGTCGTTTTCACAGAGAAAGTTCTGAGCGGGTTGCAAAGGGATCCAAGGTTTCACTCTCTGAAGTTCAGGTATGACAGACGTCACAGATTTCTGGGAAATCGTTAATCAGTGCGTAAGCTGGATGATGTTCTTTTGCTAATATCATGATAACCATATAAAGATTATCTTTAAATGTTAAATGTGTATGAATAATTTAAATAGAATTAACATAATAAAAGCTTTGAACTCTTTTCAGTTGATGGAATAATTACACAAAAGGAGAGGGAAAATACAAGAAAAAGCAGTAAGGGTCAGTGAAAGCTGATTGTAATTAGTGCTGCTACCTTTGCTTCTGTGCAAGGTCCTCTCACCCTCTTACTAATATAGAACTCCCATTCATTTTTAATTTTAGTTTTAGCTGCCATATAGGGCTATGTAAATGGCTCTATATGAACTTTTTTTTCTTTTAGGAACAAAACGAGATTAAGTCTTTTATTTTTTTTAATGACAATAATACACAATAGGTTTTGTGAAAAACTACAACAATATACATGACTGTTAATACCAAATAATAGGCTAATACGAAGTTTAGTTTTTGAGTCTTGGTGTCATCCTCCTATTTTGCCATAGAGCAAGGGTACTGAATAAGCGACCTTTGCAATTTGGGGAGTTATTATCATGGAAGCAGAGCTATATTTCTCAGTTCTGCATGATTGCCAAGTAATTAAACTATCTTTTAAAAACATAGATTACATTTTTCTCTGCAAAGTGCCAGTGTCTTCAAATATCACTACAATTTAACCTCCAAGGACATCCCCACTACTAACTGTTCTTGACTGCTCCAGTCAAGTAGTGCATACTTGTACATAGAGTTGTTACATGAAAGAAATTAAAATAGGTAAAGAGGAAAGTAAGAGAGAAAAAGAAAGATGTAGAGTAAGTTGATGAGGAGAGTAAGGGAAGATGGAAAGAAGAGAAAAAAGAGAGAAAAAAAGGAGGATAGAAAGAAGGAAGATGTAAAAAAAAGGATTAAGAGATAGAAGGGGCAAAGAGCAAAAGAAGTTATAGAGAGAAGTTATAAAGAAAGGAAGAGAGAAAGAAAAGGGAAAGGAAGGAAGGAAGGAAGGAAGGAAGGAAGGAAGGAAGGAAGGAAGGAAGGAAGGAAGGAAGGAAGGAAGGAAGGAAGGAAGAAAGAAGGAAGGAAGGAAGGAAGGAAGGAAGGAAGGAAGGAAGGAAGGAAGGAAGGAAGGAAGGAAGGAAGGAAGGAAGGAAGGAAGGAAGGAAAGGAGAAACTTTTTGCATATTAGGGTTATATGTATTCTTTTATAAACTGAACTGATTTCAAATTTAAGTTTAGTATTTTATCAGTATTAATTCTATCAAAGTAAAATACAGAACAAGGACAAGAGAATAAAATTGAAAGACATCATAAGGCAGTTTCATGGAGATTTAAGATAACAATGACATCAGAATTTAAGGCCAAAAAGATCAAGAAACGGGATAATGTGCAACATGGCAGAGGAAAAACAAGCTTAGATTTATAGAATTGGGTCTGACAGACTTACATGGGGGCTTGTGAACATCTATACCCATAGTGACACAGTTATGTCATTTTTTGCTGTCACCTCATAACATGATAATAACTTTCCTTTTGCCCTGCCAGTAGCCAACAAAGGATTGAAATAGCTGGTAAGGTTTAGATGGTGTCCGGGTGATGTTTATTCCCAAATCAGACAGAGCTGTAGTGTATTTTAATACTTTATAAAGATATTATACTTTAAATAGGGAACACGGTGCTCCTTTGCGACTAGTTCCAAAGCAATCTCACTGCTATATTAAACTTTTATATTTATAGAATTTACATCGGGTAGCTTTGTCAGGTCATATAATACATTTGTGGTTGAGCATAATATTTTATTAAGAGAGGCTTAAACACAAGACTATTCATTTATTTGCTTTCATTATGTAAACTAGAGGTATGTCTTCCAGAAACAATAAAGCACCCATTCATTTTCATTATTTGTTAATATAGCCCGTAGTGTATGAGAGATCCCATCTAAGATGTATCAAATTACTTGTATCTAATACTTTATAATCAGGTGACTGGATGTGACAATAGAAAGCTTCAAATAGTGAACAGGGTAATAGGATGATGGATTTTGTTTTTCTGTAAGTTTCATTCTCTTGTCATCACTCCTATTCCATTCTTACCACATCCCTGAGGTATATTCCATCCGTTAGTTTTCTTTGCAGTTCTTTCAAAATACTACTTTCTACAGTCTTCCTGCTTCAGAATTTGCCAGCTGGCTTGGCTCCTTTTCTCCCTAGTTTCAGACAAGTTTAACATTTATGTTAAGACTCCTCTGTTTTGTTTGATTCTGCTTCTTTGTTCCAGAGTCCTCATTCATCCTACACCTTTAGATAGAATCTTCCATTCATCATCACTGTCATTCATTCAACCTGAACTTTCCTCATAAGAGGGTTTTTTTTCCCTGACCTTCGCCTGATAGATTTTTTTTCTTATGAGCATCATAGAATTTCCACAGCACCTCTTTTTTTTCCCAAATGGCACAAACATTATCTGGTTTTCCTTTTCTGCAAGTGCCTTTAGTTTCCAATGGTCTCTGTGTGTTGGTTTGAAAACACCTGTCTCATCAGAACTCGTATTAAAAATATGTATGAGTTAAATAAAATCTAAAAAGAGAGCACAATATTAGAAATCCTTATTTTGTGAATAGTTTAATTAAGAGTTTAGAGATAGGGTAAAGAGGTAAAAAAATAAAGGTAAAGACTGGCAAGAATGGAATATTATTTCTGTATCTCTTACATATTGAGTAATTCTTTTTTGTGTGTGTGTTTCATATTTTCAACCTGATTTCAAACAGCATTTTTATATTTTTACATTCTTGTATGCAACCTAGTGAAGTTTGGATTTT